TAATTATAAAGAAAACAACAGTAATAATAAAGAGAATTTAATTATTAATGTAGTGTAATTCACTTTCCCTGCCACCATCCAGTCCAGCAGGTGGCGGTAACACACCTACGAGCTTGCTTGTCAAACCGCCACCAACGAACAACAGAAGAAGAACACGACGAGCACTCGCCTCTTTTCTTCCACAAACGAAACCCGAAGAGAGAAAAACCAACTGAATGTGAGCTGGGACCGATATTTACAGTCACGACCGGAGAAACCGGTTGTTAAACTTGTGTTAATGTCTCTCTGTGGCACGGTGACGGCCGCTGGTGGTTGGTCGAACTTAAGCAGCCGGTGACAACAACGAGCCTTAACACAGAAAACTAGCTAGCATTAACTCAAACAGAGGAGGCAACTTGGCGCGTTTCGGATGAAGAGCACAAATTAACATAAAACTGAGCAACACAATGGACTGCAACACAGCTGACATGCCCACTAATGTGGTCCGAGACTTTCCAGGTAGTTAGATTAACAGTGTTGTTTTTAATTTTAGATATTTTATCATTATTATTATTATTATTATTGTAATAGCTAAAAGCTAAGTGAGCGTTGACATCACTGCTGCTAAAGACTTGTTAAAGCTGTAAAATGTGTGGGTTGAGTTTGCTTGCAACATATAACGTCTAAGAAATATAAATAGTAGCACTGGTAGTACTAATAATGGTTGGTTAAACTTATCTTACCCCAGGTATTAAACCTACTTGAGTGTTTCCAGTTCTATTTTTCACTAAACTGTATTTCAGAAGGACAGTTTGTACTTTTTACTCTTCTACATTCATCTAAAATAGGTGTTCACTGGTGACAATGCAGGTGATGGGTTTAAAAACAGACGAACAGCTTCTAAAATGGAGAATAAACCACTTTCAGATAGCAAAGTGTTCTCAATCAGCTGCAACATAAAAATAGCTCCTCAGTTGTTAATGCATCAGTAGTCTGATAACATGACACGTTTAACATGTACACACTGTACGATGTAACACTTCTCATGAATAAAAACTACATTTGACAAAAGTGTTTTTACACGTGTAATACTCATTTTACTCCAAATATTTGAATACTTCCGTCACTTATTAAACAGTCCTAATACTGTAATTAATGGATGTTAGTTAATAGTCAACAAATGTAGATTCCTTGATGGTTCGTTGGTCTGATTTCAACTTTATAGCTTGTCCTCATTTTTTAAATAAAGGGGAATGCCGTAAAAAATATTCTTTCTCAAATATTGTTTAACTGTTACGACCGTTTTATGAGACGATACTTGAGATGTATGTACCGGCACTTATCCCGTTGTGTCTCTGACTGATCAGGGAATGACCGCTCCAGTTCTGACGATGACGTACCTCTCTCAGAGCTCCTGACGAGGCCACGCAACGAGGAAGAACAGTCACCTGATAACAAGCAAAGCTTCCCCTCTGGCACTAAATCAAAAGAGGACAGAAGTGGTGAGGACAGACTGACAACAATATTGCCAGTTGAAGAAAATATTGTGATCTTTGAAAGCAAAAGGTACTAAATTGTCTATGTTTCTATATGTTTTCCTGTTTTAGCCTCGGATGACTCCTCAGACAACGAGCCTTTGATAAAGATGAAAACAATCTCTGCGTCAGCTAAGAAACCAGTGAAGAAAGACAACAAGTCAACCAGATCTAATGGCACAAATAGTAAGAAAGCAGGTGGTTACAGTACCATCTATAGTATATTTCAACTGTATTTGTGTCTGAAATTGATGGCTTTAAAATGTTTCTATATGTAAGTTTTTCACCTTTGAATACAGACGACAGCTCTGACAATGAGCCTCTCATAAAGATTGCCAAAACTGCAAAGAAGCCTTCAGTGTCTCCAAGAAAATCTGTCAATACAAAGAAGAAAGGTGAGATAAGTTTCTCTCCGTGGACCTGTAGCATCAACAGACATTTGCTGCTCTCTGTAGCAAAAACTTATTCTTGACTTCCTTTTCTTACACAGAGTCGCTGGATGACGGTGAGAGCTCAGATAATGAGCCTCTGAGTGAATCTGCCAAGAAAGTCCACCCCAAACGTCAGACAAAGGCATCTGTCATGCCATCTAGAAAAGAAACCCCAGTTATGAAATCCAAAAGGAACGCAGCAAGGAAAATGGGCAAGTGTTAAAATTGTGCAAATCATCTCAAATGATTTTCTCAAGCTACTTGTACCAAAAATAAATATGTTTTGTTTCTTCTAGTCAAATATGCAGAGTCTTCCAGTGACAGCTCAGACTATGAACCAGTGGCCACAATGAAGAGGAAGCAGACAAAGGCTCCTAAAGAGCAAAAGACTTCTGCAAGCAGAAAGAAAACAAAACCAAAACATGAAGGTAGGCAGCATGTTCATGATACTGGCTAGAAAGAATAATAATTCATTCAGTTTCATTCATTACAAGTATATCAAGTGCTAACTCTCAGACCCCTCGTCTTCAGACAGCAGCTCGGATGACGATGAGGAGCCCCTGGTGAACCTTGTTGCCAAGAAGAAACCAGTGAAGAAAAACACAAAGACGGCAGCTGTATCGGAAGCCAGCGCGTCAAGAAAAAGACGAGGTACTGTAGCAGTAATGATTACATGAATATAATTATATTTTAAATCATGATATATGGTTCAAATCCTTGATGCTGTGACTTTTGTTTGGCAGGACTTTCTGATGAAAGCTCCGGAGATGAACCCTTGATTAATCTTGTGAAAAAGAATCGCAAAGACAAACCAACAAAAAACAAAACGAAGGCTTCAGCTCCGAAGAAAAGGGACACAACTCCCACAAAGCCAAGAAAGATGCGTCATGAGTCAGGTAAAGACTCGGCCGGTCTACGGTAACACCAACAGTGGAAGACTGGTTATAGGCGCTTGATAACGTCCTCAAAACCCCGTGCTGGATAAGGAAATATAAGAGAAAACATAGTAGTGTAAAGAACTTCAGTCAGTTCATTTATGTTTCATTAATATTTTTTCAGGGTCGTCAAGCAACAGTTCAGATGACGAATCCTTAATCAAGGCAGCTAAACATCCACAAGTGACCAAAATCCTGAGAATAATACTAGAGAGGTGTGATGGTGAAGAGAATGGGGCAACAGGAAGCCTGAACAAAACCAGTACAGGTACTGATTACATGACCAAGTCATTATTGATGCTGTAATTGAACATCAAAGGACTAACATTATCTTTACTCTCCAAAACAGACACACAGATTGCTGAAAAGACCTCGAGTGAGGAGTCAGAGGGCTCAGAGTAAAGTCCCCAGAAGAAGAAATAAGTAGATGAAACAAAGCTGTCACAGGTTGAAGAAGCTGCTTTTTGTTTTTACCTTTCACTTTCTGGACAGGAAGTTCAAACCACCGAGTGGCTCCAAGTTTTGCAGGACTTGTGTTGTAAATCCCTCGGAGAGACACCTCCTATAAATCACAGTTAGTGCTCATGTAAGGTTCAACAGTGCGTTTTATATACAGTACATCCGTTTTAATTTAATGTGATGATATTTTTACTCCTGTTTTTAAGTTTGGGATCAAATTTTTTGTCGGTTCCTGAAAGATTTTATGCACAATCATAGATGTTATTTACTATTTGTGCATATTGATTGCATTGGTTGTCTCCTCTGGTGTTTTGTTTTTGAGGTAATAATTTAACACTCATTGATGTAAGTTACATTCACTGCTTTCATATTAACTGCACACATGGCATGCATCAATGAAAATATGTTGTGTTGGAATAAATGATATAAAATGCCTTTGAAATTCATATCAGATGAGTCTTTTTTTAAGATGACCCACAATTCTAATTCATCAATGTCTGACATTTTTATTCCACTTTAAGTCCACTTGTCAAATCATTTGTATTGCATATACTTTTATATTTTATATTTATTGCATATACTTTTATATTTATATTTATTGCATATACTTTTATTTTTATATTTATTGCATATACTTTTATATTTTATATTTATTGCATATACTTTTATTTTTATATTTATTGCATATACTTTTATATTTTATATTTATTGCATATACTTTTATTTTTATATTTATTGCATATACTTTTATTTTTATATTTATTGCATATACTTTTATATTTTATATTTATTGCATATACTTTTATTTTTTATATTTATTGCATATACTTTTATATTTTATATTTATTGCATATACTTTTATATTTTATATTTATTGCATATACTTTTATATTTTATATTTTTGCATATGCTTTATATTTTATACTTATTGCATATACTTTTATGTTTATATTGCATATACTTTTAGTTTTTATATTTATTGCATATACTTTTATATACATTTACTGTGGGCAGGCCCTGATGGGGGTAAAGTTGTGCACTTTCTCCAGTTATCTCCAGATTTTATTGTAGTTTACAGGTAAATTAGTTTTCTTTTCAGATTTAATAGCTACTAAAAAAAGGCTAGGCTACTAACAATTACTTCCTTCATTAATTATTTAGAAGTTATGTTTTTAATGGTTAAAATGGAGCCAATTAAGTGATCAATAGCTTGTTTTTTCTCCACACTCACAATGTTCAATTTATTAGTTTATTATAATAATAATTTAGAGCTGCAACTATATATTTTTTCTTTTTTTTACTACTAATCAATCCAAATGAATCACTTCTCGATTTTCAAATGGATTGTTTAGTTTTATAAATTAAAAATATCTCTCCATCCACTAATGTATTCTTAAATTATACTTTCAGCTATTTTTCACTTGTACAATTAATTGATTAAATACTTTTTAACCTTATTCCCAATTAATTAACGGCATCAACAGGATAAAATGCGTAAAAAAAAAAGCACCATCGAAATTAATGATTTTTAAAAATTATATTATTAATAAACAATAACAAGTATTATTATTAATAACAACTTATATTAAAAAAATAAATGAATTATTTTGTTGGATTTGTGGTGAAGTTTGGTCTCCACTCTTCTTTGCTGCTTTCTGGAGCCGCCCACAACTTCCGCTCTGCTGCACGTTAGCTAGCATGCTGCTGTCTCAACACATCCGACAACTCTCGGATTAATTCATCTGTTAATCTCATCTCGTCATGACCGAGTTAAGATGTCGCAAAACAGAGACTCTGGAGGGAGACGAAGAGCGCCAACACGAGCCCGAGGTGCACACAACACGTAAGTTTAAAGCTGATGTGATGTGAACAGCAGTTAGCTTCGTGTGCTAACAAAAAAAAAAAAGAAAACAACAAAAACAAAAACACACACATCCGGTAACTTCATTTAACTTTTATTCAGAGGATGCTCGGTAAACGATTGTGACACAGCTGTTCAACGTGTTGTCTGTCTGTTCATCAGATGTTAATGGGCCGGTGAAGGAGGAAGAGGAGGAGGAGGAGGAGGAGGAGGGGAGGGTGTCCACTGGTGGAGCTGAGGACAAACAGGAGGAAGATGAGGGTGAAGGTAAAGAAGAGGAGGCTCAGCATGAAGAGGAAGAGTCAAAGAAACCCAGAGTCTCCTGTCAAGAGGTCCAAGATGTCCTCTGCATGTAAGTTTACATCCATCATGGAAACACCTGGAAAATGTATTTTAAATGACCGAATATCCTGGAAATTATCTGTATCAATCTGTATCATCCTGGAAATTATCTGTATCAATCTATATCAACCTGGAAATTATCTGTATCAACCTGGAAATTATCTGTATCAACCTGGAAATTATCTATATCAATCTATATCAACCTGGAAATTATCTGTATCAACCTGGAAATGATCTATATCAATCTATATCATCCTGAAATTATCTGTATCAATCTATATCAACCTGAAATGATCTGTATCACCTGGAAATTATCTGTATCAACCTGTAAATTATCTATATCAATCTATATCAACCTGGAAATTATCTATATCAACCTGGAAATTATCTATATCATCCTGGAAATTATCTGTATCAATCTATATCAACCTGGAAATGATCTGTATCAACCTGGAAATTATCTGTATCAATCTATATCAACCTGGAAATGATCTGTATCAACCTGGAAATGATCTATATCAACCTGGAAATTATCTGTATCAACCTGGAAATGATCTGTATAATCCTGGAAATGATCTATATCATCCTGGAAATTATCTATATCATCCTGGAAATTATCTGTATCAACCTGGAAATTGTCTGTATCAACCTGGAAATGATCTGTATCAACCTGGAAATTGTAATGGTATTTTAGCTCGTGTTGTGGCCAAATTAATGTTACAGTTGGAGGAAAACTGTTGTCTGTGGTGGGAGCGACTCCTGGAAAATGTCCTGGAAAATGTCCGTGCACAGCAGTGCTTTAAATAGACGAGTGCTTACTGCTGTTTGACTTTTAGTTTTCCACTGTGGGGAACAACTAGACATTCCAGGTTTTCTATATGTCAGCGTATATGTCACCGTCAGAAGAAGGTCCTTTTGTTTATAGTGGTATCTTATTAACCCCGAGAGTCCTTCACTGTATGAGCAGTTTTATTATCACTCAGCAATAATACACAATACCACTATCTAAAGGTGGATTTTTTCCCTTTTAAAGACTGACACACTTAGTATTGTTGTTATTTGTGATATATTTACTGTTATGTTTCTGCTTTTCAGCAGGTTTTTTGCAGCGCCTCGTGAGGGTGTTCTTCGGGTGTCTGGCAGCAGTTGCCTGTGGCATGCTTTATGCCGTTTATCTTTCTACATATCATGACAGGAAGTTCTGGTTTTCAACTAGACAAGTGGGTGTATTTTTAAGAGGCTGCTTCCATTATATTTCCTCTTCCCTGCCGTATCATATCCGTATCATGCCGTAATTCACTCCTAATGTGTCTCAGGAGCTGGAGCGTGAAATCACCTTCCAAGAAGGCAGCGGGCTCTATTATTACTACTATAAGCACATGCTGACAGCACCATCTTTTGAAAGAGGTAATTTTATCCTTTCTGCTTCTCATTTAAGAAATCAATTTTAAATATGTAACTAAATACAACACCAAAACTGACGCTCACTGGAATCAGAGGGCTACCAATGTCACTCTCTCCTTGACAATCTGCTCTGTTCTTCTGTGGTTTGTGTGGTTTTTTTTTCAGGGTTTTACGAGCTGACGCTAGATAACAAGACTGTTTCAGGTCAGACCATCAACATAGTGGAACGTTTGTCTCTGTATCCAGAGCTCATCACAAGCTTCATATACAGAGTCACAAGCAGCCAGGTGAGATTTTGACACCGACGAGGTCAGTTTTGACCATGCTACAATACATTTGTGTTGTATTTTGATCAGATAGTAATATACGATGGAAGGTGCACGAGTGTTTTCCGAAGAACAACAATTAAAACTAGTCTTAAAGCAAACACTGGCAAACAGATTGGAAATGGGTCTAACACTTGGGTGCATTTCAGCCTGAGCTTCCTCCAGAAGGGAAGAGTTTAAACAATGCAACGTAGCGCATTAGTGGAGACCAGTTTCATTTGACTTTTTTTGCATAAGTTTGTACACTGACAAGGCTTTGCATTTTAAAAGGTTTCTTAAGTTCCTTTGGTGGTTTTTATTTGTTCTTTTTAGTTGACTCAGTAGCAACAAATAGGCACAATTTTACCAGATAGCAAATCTCACTGTGAAAGCCAAGATTACAACATTACAAAAGCAGAAAATAATTAAGTAGTTTAAACAGTCTCATCTGCTTCCAGTGCAGTGGACTTACCACCAATTATAATGCAATAAGTAATTCAATACATTGAGCCAGAAAACGTGGAGAGGAGTCAAACTTTTGCATTGTATTACCTGGTAATAACAAAGTAAAGACTTCATGTTCACACCAACACAGATTTGTCAGTTATTTACAGATAATAAGTCTTATTTAAGTCAATTACCTCATTTTAGCACGTTGACATTGGATTTCTGGCAGTGACATTGTAAATAAACAACCATCTAAAGCAAAAGTTTTAGATTTTTATTCTCATAGAATTTTTTCCCCTTGATAAAAACCTTAATGTTTTTCCGTCTCTGCCTTCAGGATTTCGTGGAGCCAATCTACTTCTACGTTGGAGCGGTTTTCGGCCTCCAGGCGATCTACGTCACTGCCCTGTTTGTGTGCAGCTGGGTGATGAGCGGCACATGGGTGGCTGGCATGTTGGCTGTGGCCTGGTATGTGATCAACAGGTGAGAGGAAATCTGCCACCCTGTTCCTCGTACTTCAGTGTTCGGTTTCTCTTTATCTCTCATCGTGTTCCTTCCTCCTGTCAAAGTAAAGTTAGCTTCCTCTTGTAATCTTTACCCGATATCCTTCTTTCAATTGTTCCTCTCTGTTGTGATAACTTTCTGATGCTTAAAACAGTCTTAAAAAAATTTAACTTTTAAGCTGCTGATAAGACGAATCAAAATCTCAGTGCTGAAGCATAATTATACCTTCCTGTTTTCTTTCTGTTTTATGGTGACATGTCCACTTTACAACTCTCTTGTGGGTCATTTCTTCCTCAGACCAGATACAACCAAAGTGGATCACGCCATTCCTCTGCGGGAAAACTGGGCTCTGCCCTACTTCTCTTGCCAGGTTGTAGCTTTGACAGGATTCCTGAGTAATAACATCAGCTCTGCCACCGAGGTGAGCGTCTCATGAAACCAATTTTTAAAAACAGTCCACTACATCAAAGTTAGGTGGAACAGTGCATTTACACACACACACACACACACACACACACACACACACACACACACACACACACACACACACACACACTGATTAAACTGTGTTTCTCTGTAGATGTTTTGCTATCTCACCATGAGTGCCACCACCTTCACCTTCCTCCTGGTCTGGGAGCACAGCCACTACGTGCTCTTCATCCAAGGCCTCTGTCTTTTCTTGTTGGACTCTTTTGACCTGCTGCCACCGCGTAAGGTAACACAGTCCTTGCTTAATAAAGGAGTATGGACCAGTTGAACCACATAACTACTTGTGCTTTTTTTAAAAATGTAGTTCCTTTATGTTGGTGTGAAACAATCTGCCTACCAGCACATCTAAAAGTCCAATTGTCCTCATTCTTTTTCCTTTGTTTCTTTTTCTGGGACGTTAAGATGGCTGACATTCACAAGGTGTACCTCAGCTCCTTGTTCCTGGCCTACTTGTTCCAGTTTCAGAACCCGACACTGCTCAGCTCACCTCTGCTCAGCCTCCTGATTGGCTCAGTGCTCGCGAGGTACTTCCAGGTAGAGATAGCTGCTCCCTCACATCAGTCAGAGTGCATGTTGCAGGCATTTGTTTTAACTTGCATTGAATCCTCGACGGGTGAGCTTGAGTCATGAGTTTAATTATTGATTAACTAATTTACCTGTAGTAGTAGCAGTAGCAGTAGTAGTAGTAGTAGAAGAAGTAAAAAAAACCTTATCAAATGTGAGGATTTTCTATGTTTTCTGTATGAAAACACTGAATGCAGAGTAAAGATGCTTTTTTCTGTATTTCTATTGCAGCAAAATATGAAGGTGGGACCTCTTGTGGCCAGAGTAATGAAGCTCTTCCTACATTTCCACCTAGTCTTCACCACAGGGATCACCTTCAGTTATTTGGTCAAGGTAAAACCACAGGAACATGGTTTGGCTGTCTTAGTTTTGAGTTTTTAGGTTGTAGATTCATCATTATTGTGTTTTTATTTACAGAAACTAATACCTGTAAGTGACAGTGACTTCATCTTGAAATTCCTTGAAGTAAAATTTGGGCTCAACACGACAACGTGAGTTACAACTATTGCATTAAAAGTTTGCTGTTACAATATAACATCCATGTTAATCAGTATGCATAATCTAATGTAATGTTTTCTTTCCTTCTATGTTAGTGACTTTGTTACCAACTTCCTCCTGTGCCAAGAGAGTTTCCAGACACCCGGTCAGGACTTATTTCTACGACTGACGCAGGCCTCGGTCCTTCCTTTCTACTTCCTGGTGCTAGGTATCTGTCTGCTGTCCACCCTGCAGACCATTTACAGAAGACTCAGGTTAGAGGCTTGTGCCACACCCAGTGCATGACATTTCTCTTGGCTGTCTTTCTGAAATGACAGTTTACAGAGCTGGTGTTAAAAACAGGAAATCAACCAGCTGTGGGTCGCAGCTTACAGTTTGAAGTTCTGCTGTAAAGTTTGAGGCTCTAGTAAACATTTATCATGGATCCGCTTTAGGCTTTAGGCTTTAGGCTTGATAACATGATGCATTGAAAGCATTTTCACTTTTATACAGTGGTCAGCCAATGAAAACCAACCTCAGACTTGAAGATGGACGAATAGGAGAGCAGCCAGAGGTCATCTATCATGTTTTTCACACGTTGTTATTTGGAGGCCTCGCTCTGCTGTTCGATGGGTATGTTCATCAGCGTAAAAAAGTGTGTTTTTAGAATTTGGATGTCTTGTTAAATCATTCATTCCTCTGGAAGCGAATGGACAGTGACTGTGTTTTTCTTTCATGCAGGATGAAATATTTATGGACCCCGTACGTCTGCATGTTTACAGCGTTCGGTGTGTGTTCTCCAGAACTCTGGATGACTGTGTTTAAGTGGCTTAAACTGAAGTCCATCCATCCTGTAGTGCTGGTAAGTTCCCTCTTAGATTAATTTTTAACAGGAAACATTGAGCGCTTTCAGTCATAAAGAAAAGTGCATGACTCACACCACACATACATATTGACTGTTGAACCTCATTCACTCCAAAATGGCAGTTTTGAATTGGATTAATATCTCACTGGCAAAATAGCGGCATTACCTACAAAACATCATCATTATTATTATAACCAACTGTTGCAGAAGTTTCTCATCACTTGTTGCTACAAATGCTTGAACCATCCAAGGTCTTGCATAAGATGTGAATTTTAACTGTTGTTTGCTCACCAGTCTCTGATCCTGAGCACGGCGGTTCCTACCATCATTGGTTTCAGTTTGTGGAGAGAGGTGAGATTATTATTATTATTATTATTATTATTATTATTATTTTCAGCTCTTTATGTTTTGAAGCTCTTTACATAAGACATTTAAAGGCAGGCACATCCCATCTTCCCACACTGCTCTCCTCTGTGTTGCAGTACTGCCCTCGTGTCTTAGCAGAGCTGGCAGATCTGCAGGAGTTCTACGATCCAGATACAGTGGAGCTGGTCAACTGGATCAGGTGGGTCATCAGGCCTTTCTGTGTTTTCAAAGATATCTATCAAGTCTTTAATGTGGCAGCTGATGTCTTCTTGTTGTCTTCCAGGTCACAGGCTCCAGTGGCGGCTGTCTTTGCAGGCAGCCCTCAGCTGTTGGGAACAGTGAAGTTGTGTTCAGGTTCAGCTGTGACCAGTTTACCGCTTTACTCGGACATCAACCTGCTGAGGAGGACTGAGGATGTGAGTGAGATGAAAGATTAATTCTGAAAGTGGAAAAAGGGAGACACTTGGTACGAGAAACTACTTTAAAAAGGCGACTTAAAACAGTACAATCCGTTTTTAACTAGCTCAAGTCGTTGGGTTATAAAGGGGTAATTCTTGGAACAGATTGAATTCATTCATTCCTCTAAAACATATTCTAGTAATATGTCAATTATGTTAATGACAAAATGTTGTTGCATGTTCTCCATCTCTCCCCTTATTCACTGCCTGTTCTCTGATAGTCATAAAAATGGCTAAAATACATGAGAAAAAGACTAAATATATATTTGAGCTGTGGTCTAACAGATTTAGATTTTCACTTGCAAACACAGTTTGTTAAATCACTCCTTTTTTTCTGTCCTTGCAGACTTACCAGGTGTATGCAATGAGATCTGCAGAGGACATCTATAAGACTCTGACCTCTCAAAAGACAAACTACGTGATCATCGAGGAGTCAATTTGTAACGAGCTTAGTCTTAATAAAGGCTGTCGGATCAAAGACCTGCTCGACATCGCCAATGGACATGTGAGTTGTGTTTCTAGTATTGTGTGTTTTGAATGGTGCGTGTTGTGGCCTTGAGGTGAACATCATGATTTTAAGGTTGTTAAAGTGGGTTTTTTGCTGAGAGTTGGATAAGAGGGTTAATACCACTCTCATGTTTGTACGCTGAATATGAAACTACAGCCAGTTATCTTAGCAAAAATAGTGGAAATGGGGAAAACAGCTAACCTGGCTGTTCAAAGGTAACAAAATCTGACTTCCAGCACCTCTAAAGTTCACTAATTAACATGCATATGTCTCATTTATTTAATCCATACAAAAACTAAAGTGGTTTTGTGGGTAGTTAAATATCTTACTAGTTCTTGGCTGGAAGCATTGAATCTTGGACAAATCCAGGCTAGCTGTTCCCCCTCCGTTTCCAGTCTTTGTGCTAAGCTAACCGGCTGCTGGCTCATATTTACCATACACAGATGAGAGTTGATATCAATCATCTGAACCAACTCTCAGCAGAAGAGTGAATAAGTGCATTTTCCCAGCAAGTCAAACTCTTCTTTTTAAAGGTGGGATCAGTCATTCTGGAGAAAGAGAGCTGATAGTCGAGTCTCATTTGTCAAATACAGACACTTCGAGTTATGATTTAGTGGCTCGGATAACAAAACAATCAACTATCTTTCTCCTATCTTGTCACATATAGGTAATTATAATGAGACTGGTTGTTAATAAGCCTGTGTGGTCAGACAGTGCTTTGGAAGAACTACAAAGAGACCTGAAAAAGAAGAAAGAAATTGTTATTCTCATTATGTTTCCATATCCTTCTGTCCTGTTTAGGTTGTTTATGACAAAGGCGAGATTTACTCCTTCTCCAAGCACGGAAGATTCTGCCAGGAGATAAAGCTGAACTACTCGCCCTACACAAACTACTTCACTCGAGTTTTCTGGAACCGCTCGTACCACGTCTACAAAGTGAACTCTGTCATCTCCTTTCAGTACTGACAGCAGCTTCTGCCTCCCTGCTGAGACTTTACTCCAGTGTTTCAGATCATATCCACAACGTAACACAGAGGACTGCAACATGCCTTCGCAGTGCGTGCTCAGAAAAAAAAAAAAGTCTAATCACTGTTACCTTACACGTCCCGGTGTAGATGCAAACTCAAAGCAGCGGGGGTCAACTGAGCACATTGTACTTTTGTTTGGCCTACGTGTTGATCGATCAACATCAAAGGACCCTGCTGAAGTGAAATATGCCATATTAATCACTGTACTGTAGTTTTATAAGCCATGTGTTGCTGTTACTGTGATGCATTTAATGAAGGGAGAAGTTGACATACGTGAGGTCTGTGTGTGTTCTTTGTGCAGAAGCTGAGAGCAGCGGAGATGTGTTTTTTTTAGGCCCTTTATTTTGAGACAACCAATAGTGGTCATATTTGTAGTCATGCTGGATCTAGGGAGGGCAGTGTCCGCCTGTTGGTCAGTCAGTAGTGCCACCTCTTTTACTTTTTACTGTAGCACCACCTGCTGGTCAAAGCTTTCACATCTACTGAGACAATTGTACTGACATTCATGATCTCCGAAGGAGGAGAAAACTTTGTCTCTGTCTGCCTAAATAGACAAAATGTGTCTCGTATTACAGGTATGACCACCATTTATTGTCCTGAGATAAGAATTTTATATTTTAACATATGGTTAAGTTAGAATAATAAGCTAACTTGTATCAATGATAAGCCAACATTATAGTTTAAATCAAGCAAATTTTCATTAGGATCTGTTAAAGAGAAAAAGTGATAATTAAGAGAAAACACTGGCGTTCTCGCTCTCTGCCACTTTCTGCTCGTTTCCTCTCAAAATGATTCATGCAGTTAATGTTTATGTGTTGTGTACATTTAAAAGGCTGCTGCTTCTCATATGCTTAACTTTAATAGGGAATACGTGTGTCTGTAAGCTCCCTATGTAAGTGTGAGGTTGGTAGACACCCACCAGCCTTCTGACACTGGAAGACAAACAACTTGTGATATCAGATACGAAGTTTAGAGTCGCTTCGAACATGATGAATGGAAGATGGAAGTATTTGTGGAGTGACTGACTGGTTTTAATGTATCTCTGTTTTTACCATGGTTTTGTTATGGGGCAGCTCTGTACACATAATAATACAGCGATGCCTGGCATGGGATGGGTTTTATATCAACAACCCAGGACAAGAGCAACGGCGTCTGTGAACTTTTTAAACCGAGTTGTGTCTCTTTTTGCCTTAAAGCGCAGTGGAGGCTGGTTCTGAAGCTGCTCTTTTCTGTTGCGTTGTCTTCATCTTCATCTGGTTGCCTTATTTTGAGATGTAGGAACTGACTGACGTCTCTTCATCAGTCAGACCTCTTGCTAGATTTCCCACCCCACGGTTGTTACCTTGAAGTATTTTTAATTCTCTCTGGTGCTATCGTGCAACACTCAATAACTGTCCCTCTGCAAAAGGCCATGTAGTGAATATTAGGTTTTATTGAATGACTTATGGAGATTAAAAGTGTGTATGAGTTGATAAATAAAAAAGGCGATCTCTGTTATGTTGTTTGTTGATATTTTGTGTCAAAGATTGATTTACACAAGCATGACAATAAACATTTTAAGTAACCTTATGTAATTCCTACCAGCTCCACCCAACAACACCTGTGTGGCTCTGCAGGGCTTTTAATCTTTTTTTATTCATGCTTTAAATTGGAGCAAACTTAATATTAAAATAGTGATTTCTCAGTATCTGCATACAATTACATATTTAGGTCCCTTTTTCAATTTACTATGGTACCCTTAAAGTCCTTAAAGATTTTATTTTTGTATCTCGTGTGGTCAAAGAAAACACATTGGCAGTGGTTCAAAACATAAAAATGTACACAGTAGGCATTTATTTCAGCATTTCTGCTAATAAAACTAAATTAAATTGTTATTTTTTTAAAGTTTTAGATTATTATTATTCAAGATCTAAACTTTGAAGACTTGAACACAAGTTATAGAGACATATAAGAAGGAGAGACAAAACTCATAATAAGTCTATATGATTGTAAAAATTGTAGAATTTTATAAAACGTTCCTAAAAATCAGGAAAACTTTCTTATTTATTTTTAATATTTAATAACCAGGTAATTTTAGTTTTTTTGACATGACAAATTCAAAAACTTTTAATTTCTAAATCACGACATTAACTCTCTCTTTCACGCGTATTTAACGTTATTAGTAAAAACCTAATAATATTAAATAATAAACGGGTTTTACGTCAGAGCATAAATACGCGCAGAAATGACGCGTTGTGTGTCTCCCTGGCGACGAACCGGAAGCGGAAACGCGGTGGCGAGATGGCGAAGCGCCGAATGAATTATGTGAGAATCAAACAGCCCGTGTAGCTGTACCAGCTTTTAATCTTACAGATTTTAGAGTTTATCTAGCTCCTATCTCCTCTACCTGTTCATTCTGGGCCTGTTGAGGTAAGTTTATCCGTCCCCGCAGTGTCCCGTTAGCCCGTTAGCTTCAGTGTTAGCTGGCTCCACAGAAAGGATTTAGTCATCAGTTGTGGAAGATTTATTTTAATAAATAAAGATAGCCTTACCTTAATGTAAATATATGTTGTATTCATCACTTTATTACATAAAATGTGTTATTATTTTGTTATTATTATTATTCCTGCATTAAAGTAAAAACCTATAACCAAATCTACCTTTGGGTAAAAATAAAGTAACCTTGAGCTCCTCCAGATGTTGACATTACAATCAGCTGTATTTAGAGGCTCAGCAGCACCCTGATGAGTGAAGTCATCCTGTGTGTAAATATGATATGTATTCATCCTTGAGTTGTTTGTTTTATTCCAGGACACTTAAACCCTTACTGTAGCTCTTTTAAAAGATAAATAACATACTTAAATCTTCCTCACTGCTCGCCAGGGGAGGATGAGTGCGGAGGCAGCGGACCGGGTAGCTGCTGTGACCAGCAGTCGGCCGAGCACACCTCTTCAGACTTCCTGGTTTGAGTTCCTCCTGGATGGCAGCCTGCTGGAGAAACACCTGGAGAGGTCACACCCAGGTCAGCTCAGTGATACTAACGGCCTCCTAATCAAATAAACCAAGTTATTAACAAGATTTCAAGGGTAGTCCGGTAATGCTGATTCTCCTCCATGATTAAACATCATGGTTGGATGTATTTGTTCATTCATAATGTGTTTGTGTGTGTCCACAGACCCGGCAGCAGTGCAGCTGATCATCCAGTTCCTGGAGCAGGCGTCCAAGCCCTCAGTGAACGAGCAGAATCAAGTGCAGCCTCCAGCAGACAACCGCAGGAACCGCACCCTGAAGCTGCTGGCACTGAAAGTAGCTGCGTACATGAAGTGGGATCTGGATGCTCTTGAGAAAGGGTAAGTGTGTGTGAAAGACTCTTTAATCTTATAATAACGTGGAGGAAGTCAGTTTAACATAAAGCTTTCATGCACGCTTTCAGAAATTTGTTTTGTAGAGGATAATGCGATCCTCAGGGTTCCCACTTGTCCTGGAAAATCTGGAAATTTGGAGACTAGTTTTCCAGATGTGGAAACACCTCAAAATTAATTTATCAAAATTACCCAAATATCCTGGAAATAATCTGTTGTGATTTATCCTTCTGTCCTGCCAGTTTGACCATTCCAGTATTAAATATGTTACTGAACGAGCTGCTGTGTGTGAGCAAAGTGCCGCCAGGTGTGAAACATGTGGACCTGGACCTGTCCACTCTGCCTCCTACTACAGCCATGGCTGTCGTCATTTACAACCGGTGGTGAGTAAACACACACGATCCTCTGAGGTCAGACACACCAGTAAGACAGCTGGTCGGCAGAACGAAGCGATGCACTGTCCTATCTCAGAATGAACTACTGTAACTCTGAAATGGAGTAGGAATATAGATGAAAGGGGATAAACTGCTTAAATAGAAAGAATAACAAAGAATTGCAACTGTTTTCATGTTTAATTCCTATTGTGTCTGTCAAAGGGCGATCCGAACCATCGTGCTGAGCAGCTTTCCAGAGAAACAGACCAAACCAGGACCTCACCAGATGAACATGTAAAACCTGCTCCTTCCTTCCTGTTACCACACTGTAGAATTTTTAACAGAACTAAACTTACTCACGCTGATCTGAAACTTAAAGAGCATAATGAATTATTTTCTTGTGGCCTCTCCTAGGTTAAGTATTGTGCAGCAGGAGAAAGAGATGACTGATAACATCCTGACTGTGGTGAGTTAACATGTTTTTTTTAATGTACTAAGTCTAAATTCTCAAACAGTGTCATTAAATATACTCTCTCTGGGCTGTCCAATAAATTTCTGTGTGCCAGATAGTTTTGATTTTCATAATATCTCATGCAGTAATCCCTGATTCGTCCCTATTCGCAGTCTAAGAAATTGTCTTGTAAGTGAATTGATCAAAATATACTTTCTTCCTGACGCCCTCAGCTGAAAGAGCAGGCGACCGACTCCATCAGTGTCCTGGAAGGAGCTCTGCAGCTGAAGAAGGACTTCTACGTTCACACCCTGAGGACTCTGGATCTGCTGGCTGCTGATGCTGCTGCCAACGGGGAGACGGAGTCCTCGACTGCTGGACTTCGCATCAGTGCCGATGAGCTGCACTGTCAGGTTAGTGGACAACACAGTGCTGTCTCGTTGGGATTCATTTTTTATGCTTCTGAATGCAGATTACATCAGCGTGTGCTTTGCAAACTTTGCATATACTTGTGTTTCACTGGGCGAGCGGAACACATAACTGGCCTAATTTGTATCTTTGTGTTTCAGGTGCATTATGATGTAGGATGTATTTTCTTCCAGCAAGGCTGCACAGACCAGCCTGCCTATCAGAAAGCCCGGGATCACTTTAGACAGACAAAGGAACTGTTAAAGAAGGTATTTCTACTTGAAATTAACTTACACAAAGATACAGTGCTGTCCTGGAATTACAACAGTTTTCCTCAAATATCTTTATATTTTTCAGCTGGACTCGACTGTCCACGTTCACCTGGATGAGAAACGTCTGGCTGGCTACTGGAACGCCTGCAAAGCTTTGACTCAAGACTGTGACTCAGACTCCCAGACTACACCCTACGATCAGATCAACAGCCTGATCCGGGCGCACAGCTACCAGGTCAGAGCCGACGCCGCAGTAACAATGACGCTAAACATTTGTTTTGTAAAAATATAAACTCATTTATAGATTGCACTTCCTCTCTCTGACAGGCTGTTATTGAAGCCTTCATCAAAGACAACGTGTCCCGCGTTTTGCCAAACAACTTCAGACGGTCTGTTCTCAGGGAGTTCCTCTACAAAGTCCAACTAGGGTAAGTCCACAATCAAAACTAATTCAAACATGACATGCATTGTAACAATGTACAGCTTGTATTCACAGGTTGTCACATAGAGATACTCTGATATTAGTTTGTACTGCAGACAGTCCAGTTCGATTTCTTTATCAGCGCAACCACAAAAAAATCTGTTTCTAACCCTCTGCAGGGAGTCGGGTCTGGACGAGGTTTGCCACAAGCTGTGTGTTTGCAACGCCGTCCGAGATGCTTTGGAAGGAGAAGTCCTCAGTGTGTGTTTCCAGCAGCTCCTCCTCAAACCCAGTAGAAGAACTGTCGACTTCATTTTAGAGGTACTCACCTTCACCTTCTGTGTGTCCTTTGAGAATCTCGCAGGAGAAATTCATGCTTCCAACGACTTAGAGCTTCAACTGATAAATGTAGCAACAAGGAACTTTTTTTGTTTTGTGTCGATTCTGGCAGCCCCTGTGGACAAAAGTAGTAATGTTTCTACTGCCTTGTTTCATTGATTTCAAGGGGAATCTGACTGAATCCAACCGGGTGGCAGGCATTAAGAATAAATATATAGAAATAGCCAATCTTTTCATCGATGGTCTTGTATACTTATGTACGTCATATAGAGGCATCAGTATTAAATTGAGAGTTTTATAACCAAGTCTTAAGTCTGACTTTGTTACTGATACATCCATCTTTCTGCTTAAATAATGTAAATAGGTTTCATGAGAAAAGGTTTGAGAGATGTTGAGTGTGTAACTGGGGACTGACCTGAATGTTTCTCATGATGTTAAAATTAAAGCTACTGCATGTTTTCTTTGTCCTGCAGGTGTGCACACTTTCGCTGGAGAAAGACCGTCCGTCTGAAACATCCAGGAAACACATGGCCAATTTTATGAAGTGAGTGATGGCAAATACAGTGACCCCCGACTCTGTTAGGTACAACAAATGTCAAGGAGGTTTTCTTTAAATTATTCCACACTGGTGTACTAGCTGAAGTGTCAATAAAACCTTTATAAAAGAAATCTCAGAACCTACAGCTGGCAATGTACCCTAATCATTACAATATATTTTAAACAATTCTGTTCCTGTCCTGCAGGACTCTGTGTGAAAGCTTAGAGGAGCTGCCTCTGCTGTTTGTGGTGTCGTCTCATAAACTCTTCATGGAGCTGCTGAAGGAGGAGGAGAGGAAGGTCCTGATGGAGCAGATGAGGAAGAGATCGGCCACAATCAACCTCAGCGCCAAG